CGACTTGCTGCCAGAAACAAACTGCCTTTGCAAGACATATGCTGGTACAACTTGCACTCTAACATTACCTTTACTTGCACTTGTATTATTTTTAAAGGGTTAATTCAACAGTAAATATTAATTGTTAGGTTAGTTACGTTCACCTATACTATTAAAATAAAGTGTAAACACACACTTATTTGTTGCCTAAGGTCTCAGCAATTACAGTATATTTTTGACTAATTATTTTTTTAATAAAAAGCCCTACACTTGCGTCATGCTTTAGGCTATATGTTTTATGTTTATATAAAAATGCATGCCACACCTTTTACTATCGTCTCTACAGAGATGAATACGGGTTAAAGGACAATAGGCCCTCAAAAATCACGTATGAAAACCCGTTCCATATGGTCTAGTAAAGCAGCATTTATGATAGTACTCGCTTTTGTCCGTAACTTCACACGCGCTGGAATAATACACAAACTTAATGAGTAGCCTATGCTTCAGATTATGTTCTACAACTGTGTCAAATTCCATCGAGAAAGCCTTTGACATTTGATAACAGTCACCGTTACTACAAAAACCTTGCTTCCTTAATGTTGACAGCATGTAGATTATGGTCCCTTTCCCATTTGAAGGTTTTTTCCAAATTATTTACCCCTAAGTTTAATAGCGTGAAAATATATAGCCTAAAGCGTGTCGTTAGTGTATTTTATTAAAGAAATGATTATTCAAAAATATTCTGTTATTGCTGACATCCTACGCCACAAAGTAGTGTGTTTGCACTTTATTATATTCGTAGAAGTATAGATACAGACTATTTAACATAAATGTAAAACGTTATCTATCATAGCGTAAAGTTGCATTGAAACAAAATATCAACAAGGGCCGGTGCACACAAGGTGCGAAATACTAGTAGCGCTACAAGCAGCTGTCGGACGTAATTAATAGCGCTGCGATAGCGCGGCGGCGCACTGACAAATTGAATAAATATAACTGGCAACACTGATCATTTTACACCCGTGTATGTTCACGTGTAAATTGAGAGCATTATTCATATCAGTTAACGTATTAAATAAACATTTGTTATAGTTTTATACTAGAGATATTATATATCTAAACATATAATAAAATTGGAGTGTCTGTGATATCAAATGAAAAATTCCATCTAGGGGATGATGATGTATTTGCGTTGCATCAGCAAATTTTTTTGTCTGTCTGTGCGCAAGCCGTGTATGTTTCGAGAAATCTCTGAAACGACTGGATCGATTTCGACGTGACTGTCACTGAAGGGTAGCTGATATAGACGGGCATATTATAGGATTATAGTTTTATGTTAATATTGCGTGGAAGTCTCGGGCAACAGCTAGTGTTAAATGAATGTTTGAATATTAACAAAAAATAACGTGAAAGTAGGATGCGATATCAATATTTTTCTCCTACTGAGATAAAGGTTCTACAATTATGTATGTAATTAGATATGGTTTTTACCGATTTCGGCATGTTAAGCGTGTTTTTACCGCGAAGTATCATAGGTTTATGGCTTTCCCAGCTACGTTTAACCATTCGTTAGTGATTTTGGTTTGATAAAATCAAGAATTGGGTTTCTGAACTATGTAAAGGTGAGTTTTAGTCCGTTGAAACATAGGTCAACCTAACATTTATGTACCGCTTGCTAATGAAAATATAAGTGGGAACTTCAGAAACCCAGCAATAATCAGTCTTTTTTAATAACATTTATTTTACAATACCCTTTATGACGAAGCTTAAAAATTTTAGTATTGATTGCTTGTGCAAATTTTCGTATTTTATCTAGTAATAAAAATAAGCAATCAAATCAGTGCTCGAGCTTAATTTGCTTTATCTCATAAATAACGCGTAATAAAATATCCGTAATACTTCGTTAAGCTTTATTTATGGGGACTTAAGTAAACGTATTTACGTGGGCGTGGTTTGTACCGGTTGTCTATTTGATATACGAGTTCGTTACGTCTATTCAAATTATTGTATAGATAAATCTTAATTTCTTACATAATTATGCTAAGTAATATAGTCGATACGGTCTGCCTTTCAATCTTGTTTTAGGTTATATTTTACTAGCTGTTGCTCATGATCTTCCATGTAAAATTAAAAATTGTAAAAAAACTTAACCTATGTTACTCAGTCATAACGTAGCTTTTTAATGGTAAAAGAATTTTTGGAATCGGTTCAGTAGTTTTTGAGTTATTTCAATATATACAAAAATCCAAAACTACAAATCTTTCCTATTTGTGTTAGTATAGATTGCTATTGTAAAAAGTTTCTTTTCTACGTTTTTATATAACTAAATAACCTTCTGGTAATGGCAAATCTAACAAATCATGCAGACGTTAATAACTTAAGGGACATTTTTAAATTTCAGACGCCATTAGCGCGTTCGTACACCTGAAACTAAAATCTCATGATTTCCTCAAAAATAGAAACATCGATAAAAGTGACATAGCAAGATACATTGTCATACAACACTATTCATTACTAGTGCAGGTCTTGTTAGTGTTGTGCCGCTAACGAGATGCGGTGTTGATAACATCTGACGTCGCCAGACCCGACTCTACCGCGGAATATCAAGATTAAAATTCCACAAGGATTCTGTAAAACGACTCCTTGATGATCAATGTTGAAAGGTGTTGTTATAATGACTTCTTTTAATGAAAGAAACACTATTCTCTAATTAAAAAATCTAAAAACCCGACTGATTGAACTGATGATACTAGAATGAATACGTATCGAATGATATACAATATATGAAAAGTAATGATGCTGTCGAGGTGCATTTATCCGACGTAAATAAAACTACAGAGTCCCTTTCAATGGTTTGTGTTTATGGGCGTCGCCAACCAATGATCTTGACTAGGTCAAGTGTACACTAGAAAAATGACCTTGAATCAAATTGTTCAAGTTATGCAAAGAATTCTTACCAAGCTTTATGGCTTATTTTTGTCAAATAAAAGATACTTAGTTGAACTATTCATCAAGATACAATTATTGGGTGACATACTTGGAGATATAATGGTTGTTTTAACTGCGTTTTAGTGTAGAGTTCTCGAACCAAGTCCACAGCAAGCGCGGCCTATTTAATGTCTGTTTGTAGCAGTAACATTAACAAACTAGTTTATTACAAATCTAGTCCAATAACGATACAAATAAATAAAAAAATATTGATTTACAGTCCAACACTTACGATATATCACAAGTACTTTTTTCTCGCATATTAAAAACTGCTGTCTTGAACTGTTACAATTCAAAAAGTGAGCAAGCGTGAATCGGAACACTGATTATTGTTCCGTATAGTTAAAAAATACCGTCATCAACTTTAATGCAGTATTTCAAAGTAACAATACAAACTTAAAATCTAAGGTACATAAAACATGTAGTAACTTAATTTTAACGAAATTATCGTTAAAATTGAACCCACGAGTTCAAAAAAAGAAAGCCAGAAGATATCTAACACTAGTTGGAATGTGAGAGAAATAGACGGGAGCGCTTTACTTTCCCGGGAGTTGAAGCTCAACCCGTCCGATGTAGGCATTGTGTCAATATTGACTGACCTAGCATGCAGCGGCTGTACGATTATGGAAGCTCGTTTCTTAAAGTCTAAGAGTAGCACTATGGAATTGACACGTCATTCCAAAGACAAAAATCCCCCTTTACCTAACAAAGATTAATAAAAATATTTAAAAAGTGCACTCAATAACTTAATCGTTAAAACGGTCATTTAGTGCGTATTTTTCGTGAAGTAAAGTGACTATTTAGGGACATATTAACTGATTCCCAATAGCATATAGCTATTCTTTACAGGTGACCTGGTAGTAGGGAACCTTAAAAGTGATGGGAGTAACAAACGAGTTCCCGTGTCGGAATGTCTCATCGATCATGCCGACTGGACTTGTACAGCTGCATATGGTGTAAGACCATAACACCAGCTGTCAATATCTGTTCTCGGAATACATGTATGCTCTCGGTGCGAAAAGATGTCGCCTGTCAAAGGTTGTCAATTAAATTGTAGTTATTAAAATCAGCAACAGAATAGGATGTGTATATTGATTGTTGTAGCGAAATATACTATTATATCTTACTAATACTATAAATGCGAAAGTTTAGATGGATGGATGGACGGATGTTTATTAGAGTTTGTAGCCTAAACGGCTGAAGGGATCTAGATGAAATTTGGCACAGATGTAGAGGATAGTCTGGAAGAACACATAGGCTACTCACTTTTGTTTTTTTTAATTCCGCGCGGACGGAGTCACGGGCGAAAGCTAGTTATATTATAAATGCAAAAGTTTAGATGGATGTTTGTTAGAGTTTGTAGTCAAAACGGCTGAACGGATTTTGATGAAATTTGGTATAGACGTAGAGGTTAGTATTGAAGAACACATAGGCTTTTGTTTCTTTTATTCTATGTGGACGGAGGCACGGGCGAAAGCTAGTATTTTTATAAAATTTAATTTGAATAAACAATTGGACTGGAAGAAATCCAACATCTGTGACCTTTCCTTGCAACTGTTAACATTGTCTAAAAAATAAAGTTGTGCTCACCAAATTCAGTCTTTTAATTATGTAAAATCAGTTGATTTCTGCTTCAATTCACAACCAAAACTTTATCACTTATACACAAGTACACTATGCTTCTTTTTTATTTACAAAAAAAATAATACTTTACTATACATTTTTAGTTTACGGTCTGAGAAAAAGTTTGTTAGCATTTTGTATAAAACACGGTTACTATGGAAATGAGAACACCTAACATTACCTTAAGTTATTGGGGTATTGGAGGATTCAAAATAAAAAATAACGACACTACAAAATAATACTGGCTGATAGAGGATCAGATAGCTTAAAAATTACGTCACAGTCAAATAAGGGAACAAAATCGAAATTGGTGAGACAGGCCCTAAGTATTCTAAAAAGAGTAATAAACGTAAAATATCCTATACAAAATACAATTGCAAAAATTATACACCGAAATAAAATACAAAAAATATATTAAAAACTGATTTATTTCAATAATTATTTACAAATAAAACAGACTTAAAACTCTTAAGTTAAATAAGTTTGCACTAGAATTGTTAATTCTTTAAATATACAAGTATCCATCGAGGTATCTTCTAAGTTGAGAACATTTTTACTTTTTAAAATCCTAGCTCCATTAGCAACGGCTTTAGACAACAAATGTACCGTTTCGTCAACGTTAACTAAAGAAACACATTTGTTAATTAAATTTAAAATTTGTTTCTTAGTTAACAACTTAACAGTTTTCTTTGAAACAATTTTGTATATACCCACATATTCGTATATATCCGCAAGTTCTAATCCTTCTAAATAATTAGATAAATCAATGAGAATAAGCAAGATTTTAAATTCAATTTCTTTATCTACCTTCACACTTATTGTCTCGATTTTACCGTTAACATTGTTTACTAAAGAAACTTTTGTAAGTGAATCTATTCGTAAACTATACAACATACTTTTGATTAAAGTAAACATTTGTATGACTACACATTTCTCGTCTTTCCGTATCTGCCTCACAGCGTAATGAAACCACGATAGAAACCCATAACCCTTAATTAAAATGTCAAATGCCTTTGGAACTGTTATTATAGAATTAAGAGCACTTATAATCTTTTCTCTCGTTTTACGATCACATAATTCGGTCGAATAAAAGTCCATCATCATTTTCAAACACATACTTTTAAATACCACGTTAACATCGGTCATTGTTTTAGTTCCATCCTTAATTATATCAAGAATCCATTGTCTTCTATCGATAGATTCTACATCACTGTCGTGGAAAAGACTGAGGAAGTCTGGAACATTTGTAAGATCAACAATTTCTTTCGCTATGAAGAAATTATTGACTGGTTTGTAAAGTGGGTCAAAAGGTGCTGTTGATACCATTAATGCTTTAGCTAAATACAAGGCACCGATTGCGGGTAGACGAGGATTTTTGTCCTGTCCATTATTTGCTGAATCAGTTATGGCGGTAGATAAACTCATACGTAACGTTGTAATGAAATCGCCGAGGAAGAGTTTGTCGTTTTTGTGTTTTCTGGAAAAAGAATTAAAATAAATTATTGGACAAGTTAATATTTAGACTTCATTAGAAGTTAACTGTGAATATCTAATGCTGGAATATGAGTACGGTCTAGTAGGTTTTGCGTGGATTAAATCCATACAAAAATAGAAATCTTTCCTTTTCATAATATTGGTATAAATATTTTTTGCAAATACTTCAATAATACTTACGTTTCAGTTTCCAGCAGCATACAAAATCTATGAAGAACATGATAAGCTGCTGATCTCATCATTGGGCAGTGGGAACTTAACGCCATCACAGGAACTGACAGTAGACCAGTTCGCAGTAACTTGAAACACGAAGCAACTGATCCTGGAGCTAAGAGATGACTGAGTAAAGAAAATACGAACACTGGGTCATATATTTCTGCATCAGGATCTACGTGAGAGCATTCTGTGATATCATTCTGTTTTAATTTCATCATGATTAATTCAAATCGAGATTTTTCAATTAAGCATTTGATTGCCGATTCATTGTCATTTACTGGTTTAATGTTAGATTCATTTAAAACGTTTTTGAATGAGTGTTTTTTGTTTGAAACTCCACCGTCATTGAATTCAGGCAATTCATAATTGTATTCTAATTTTTGATTGACTGGAAAATTTCGTACAGTCCTTTCTATGATCTCTTTATCGAATAAATTCAACACTTGATTTGGGGTCGGATGTCCCCATAACGAAGAGGTTCTATTTTTGCGTACAGCATAATAATTAGCAGCGGAATCACCCCATACGTATGGTTTATACTCATTAACGGGTTGTTGATTGCTTTCGTAGTAATGTAAAATAGATAATATAATCTTGTCGCATGAACCTGTGGTCGCGCCATACGCACTCAAGTACACTGGTATCTGTTGTGGTTTCATCACTGATTTATTTATAGATATCAATGCGAAAAGAATCTCCAGTAATCTTGATTTGATTTCGAGACTGTGATGACTTAGCATTACGTTTAAGAATTCTGAGTGGGATGTTACCATGTCAAATAGTGTTATAATATCTTCATGGTCCTTCGAATAAAATAACTTTATAAGTCTCGTGAGTAGACACAAAAGTTTTGATCCAGATTCGATAGATTCATTAGCAGTCTTTATTCTTAAAGAAGCTTTTAAGACAGCTTTGCAAAAGTTTTGCCATACATTATTTTCTGTTATCTTAGCAAAATCTTGTTTCTCTTCGATATTGAATCCTATTATGTGTTTAGAAACTTGGGTTACTTGTATTATATTATGTACTATTTCATTTACAATGTTCATTTCTACATTTTCTTTAATAGCGGTAGTTAGTAGATGTAGGATAGATAAATAATAATGAATCAAGTAGTCTTTTTTATTATCTTCTTCTATGCAAATCTTTAGAAATACGGATTGAAATAAATTTATATGGCCAATATCGACCACTTCAAATTTATGAGTTTTTGTTAGAATTTTTTTGCAATCCTTTACATCCATGCATTCGATAATCAACTTTTTGATAAATTTCCAAGTTGTTAAATATATTTGGCCTGCTTTATGAGGTTTTTCCAAATACTTGTTAATATTAGATTTGTATTCATCATAAATTTTTGTCAAAAATTCTTTGTTATTTAACAAAAATGTATTATGATTTAAAACGGCATTACCTAAGGGTAATGTTAATTCCCTTTGGCTTAATATTTGCGGTCTATCGATTTCTTCTTTGAAAATTTTGCATAACTTTTCATCAAATTTAAGTAAAGTGTAAGCCAACTGTGAAGTTGATTTTCGTACCGTATTCGTTTGAAAGAATGATCTAAAAATATCTTCAGATACACATGTAACCGATTGCGGTTTGTTATCAAAATAACTGGTCAACGCTATTTCCAAGTCTGTTAAATTTACGTTTATTTCCAAACTCTTTAATAACTGACAGTACATTTTTAATGATTTCAACAACGCGTCTTGCGGTAAATCTAATTTTATTGACTTTGAATACTTGGTTATAATAACACAGAGTATAACTAATAACAGACTTGGCTCTTTGTCTTCACTAACACAAGTATTTAAGTCAGCGTTAAATATATGGTTTAAAATTATCATGTCGTCTTTTCTGCGCAATCCAACTTCTTCAAGAACCTTTACTGTCTGTTCTGATTTAATATACTTCTTCTTTTTAATCTTTTTTAATATATTCATAATCTCTTTACAATTCTTAATTTGGTAGGGTAGTAAGATATTTTTCTTACGATCCAAATAATTGACGATTTCTGAATATTGAGTCAACACGTGGAGAAGTAGTTTTGTCACAAGAACGTTGCTTTCATTCTTTTTCTGTTCTATTGGTGTATAAATTTTTAGTACATGTGAATTCTTAAACATATTCAGAATAATATTTCGTGAAACTTGTATCATGTGCTGCTTTTTACAAATGTCAATTAAACAATCAATATAAAGTTTTATTTTATCTTCTTCGACTTCCGTAAATCTATTCATTTGTGTTAATTTCACAACACAAAATACCAGATATCTCGCCCATATTAACAATTCCGAACTGTCCACAGCTTGTGCTATTTTTAAAGAACTACCCGAAATTTCTATGTCTTTTTCCTCTTCTGTAGACTTTTCTAGGAAAGTAAATATTTCCTCGAGTGCTAAATCTTCATTAGCAATGAGAGATCGGGATAAATTACATAAAACATTATCTTTTCCAACGACGCCATCTTGTAAAGCAATCGGTTCTCCCATCCAACTTGCGACATAATTTCTTACGTCCACTTTTGAATCTCCCATTAAAATTTCTGTCAGTTCTGGAGAATAATTGCAATGAAGTAAATTCGCTATGTATAGAGATAAAAACTGCTTTAAGCTTTTCTTTGCGTCTTTGTTAGGCATCGTATACTGTATGCAAGCGACAACAAATGGCGAAGGTACTTTATTTTCCATAAAAACGTTATCGTCATTGCATTTATTTTTCATCAGTCCATTAAATAGTGCTTCTAGATTCTCGTCTTTTGTTTCTATTTCTAAAGAATTAATTTGATTCCTCACTAAAGCAGTTAATTCTTTTTTATTAGTTATAGCATATTCAACAATATCACCAATTAAAGATATAGGGTTAACTTTAACTTTACGTAATGCATATAAAATAAGATGAATTTCGTCTTCGTCGTCTTCAAAAATGTTTGTATTCTTAAAGAACACATGTAAAGTGTCTTTCGCTTCTATCCAAGTATTATCACTGTCGTTTGTATAGACATCTAACATTATACGGAATAGATCTTTGAACATTGGATTTTTAGTGGAAACTGTAGAACTGTCCAGCATAAGCCATAATGAGACTATTTTAAATTTCAATAAACATGTATTAGAAATGGTCTTTGAATGATCAAGGATGCTTTTAATATCTATATTCCCTTCAAGTGATTCAAAGAATGCTGGATGGATAGAATTGTATAGAAGTAGTAAATCTATAAGTACTAGTAAAGATTCCGCTTCATCAGGTTTAGGTAATCTGTAATCTTGTGTTGCGTCTGCAGAATTTGAGTCACTCATAACATTTTTAATTAATGACACTATAGCTGTTGGTGGAGGTAAATGTTTCGGGACGAAATATTCCAATTTACTCCTAAGTTCTACAACAAGTGTCTGATTATCAATTGATTCTAAAATCTGAATATAACGCTTCAACATTTGTAACATTTTCACTAATACTTTAGCACAATATAAAGATATTGTTTGATCTTGTCCGATATTTGGTTGAATATGTTTTAATAAAGGCACAGGAAGTGTTATAAATCTTACAAAATTTGCCGTTTGTAGAGGTGTTAACTTATGCATTTTACTCACAATATCCTCGGGTTTTAATTTCTCAATTAATTTTATAAGAAATTCTACTGTTCTTTCCCAAATAGGCGAATGTTGTGGCTGAAAGCTCTGATCGACAACACTTATAATAGCTCTGTGCAAATCAGGACATTTATGTATTATTTGCAGTATTACCTCACATTCATATTCATTCTCCCATGGTCTTTTTAATCCGAGCAAGGCTTTATATAAATTTGGATTTTTGTTCACATCTGTAGTGCCCAATGAGTTATCAATAAAATAAAGACCTAGTCTATGGGATGTGAACAGTGTTACCATAATATCAGATAATAGAATTGTTATTTCCGGACGTAATTTATTTTTTAATTCACCATTCATTTCCGGAGGTCCTTTCCATGAGAATACTTTAAACATATTATATAAAACTTGTTGATTAAATGTTTTAAGTTTTAATGTTTTTGATATTAATGTATTATCAATGATATTCTTTTTAAGAATATTTAAAAATATTAATACAGCTTCGGCTTCATCGTGTACCAATCCTGGTATGACAAGACCAAGAAGACCTTGTTTTTCAAGCAATGCTTTTATTAGAGGTAAATGGCCTTCAATTAAAAAAGAAGTCATGAAATGTACAAATGCTGTTCTGACGTTATCTTTTTCTTTATAGTTAGGTTTTTCTAGAATATATTGTAAATGTTTCGGTGTCAATGGTAATTGATTGAGAATTTCAACACCTAAATCTGAATTTAATGTTACCATAGATGTTAGTAGATTGAGGATGATTTTTCTGTGCCGTGGACCGGAGTTTTCACTTATCATGATCTCAACTGTTGGTATAAATGTGTTGAGGAAGTAGCGACAAGCTTCTTCAGTAATTGTAATCATATGTGGCAAGGAAGATTGAACCTTAACAATGATAAGGTGAAATAGATGAAAAGCCGGTGTTGCTAAAGTGAGATTTTTCTTATTATCTTGTGTTATTTGCCGGAGTATCTCATGTGAATTGCCACCGATCTTAAGATATTCATGTATATAATCAACTTCATTATCTGGGTTCAAGCATACATTCAGAAACTGTGTTAACACTGAAAAGAGAACAAATTATAAAGAAAAGAGGCATAGTAATATGACAAGATTATAAATTAATTGTTTAAATTGATAAATTTGACAATAACTCACTTTTAAGTATCTTTAAATATAAGTTCTACAAATTAATAAATATCTTTCAATAGTAGAAATAGCAAAGCAAAGTTAAAACAGTAGTTTTAAACTCTTTTTAGGTTATTATTGCCCATAACAAATATCATATAAAAAACACACTTACCCATAGTTTGGCCCTGCTTTGAAGCTAATTCTTTCCTAAAATGTTTCATATCAAAACTATGCCTTTGTAAAGCCTTTTTACTTTGTAATGTTTCATGATTTAGAGGTTGCTCTGATACCATCTCATCGGTATTTTCTAAATCATCATTTTTAACCTTCTTCGAAGGTTCTATTTCCGTGTTTTCATATTTTCGTTTACCCATTTTTGTAATACTATCATTAATTTATTTAAATACTTCTAAACTCCAACCACCAAACATGCAAAACACACGTGAGTTTGTTTTGACGTTTTAAACTTTTAAATCAAAGACAACTGTCATGTGCCACAGTGTAAAAAATAATAGCTTTTCAGCCAACGTTTCTACAAAGGGTTACTAAAGTAATTTGAAAAAAAAAATATTACAAGAGTGCCACTAAACAAAATCTACAAATAATTATATTCTCATTGCATCTTAATACTGTAAGTATAATGACATGGCTCGAAAATACATAATGATCTGAGCAATCTCATTACTTAGTAAAATAGTGTTTCAATATGTTGTTTTAATATATTTTATGTAGTATTTCTAGGAGGAATAATAAAACTAATGATATTTACAAAAATAATTATGTTTAATAACTTGATAATCACAAAATTGTCATGTGTTTAAAAATTATTAAATCTGATTCCAAGATTACTACCAAAAAAAAAAAACAGAATCGTAGCAAAACAAATATAAATGTACTTTGTAAGTACATAACGAAACAGTTGTCATTAAAGTATGTTATATAAATTTGTTAAAACCTAAATCTATTATAATTGGTAAACAGTACAAGTAAAGAGCTTTAAGAAATTGTACCTGAATTAACAATTTTGAATTATAACTACAACATAAAAATGTACAAACACTGCCGTACTTAGTCGTTTAACGATTTCTTATACTGAAGGGATCAAGGGACTAGTGTCCACTAAACTACTCTGAGTACGGCCATTTTGTACAGTAACATCAAAATACCATTTGTCTTATTGGCCGTACATTAAAAAAACTTACATACAAAAACGGAATAAAATTGTATCAAAATGTGTACTATGTATACTTCAATATATACTAGGCATTACAAACAGCACCAACTCACACTTATTAATAATTCTTATAATAAAAGTTTGAATTTACCCCCTTCTTATTTCAGAATGTACTTTTTAAATAATTTTAAAATATGTTTTAAGGGCGAAACCTGAAAACATAATCCACACTTAGTAATTACAATATAATCTATCTGTACTAATAAAATAAACCGGAAACACACACTTTGCTATGTAGAATGTAATCTCAGCATATTTTATGTCAGAAGGGGACAAAAACTACAAGTCAATATTAAAGAAACAAGGTTACCATGGCAACAGTAATTGTTAGCCAATAGCAAAGGCCTTTGTTGTCATTTGACCACTGCAAATGAACGGAAAGTAATTAATAAAATATATTTTTTTTATAATAACATGCGGATGAAGCCGACATCAGCTAGCATAGATAAGACTAGTTTTCACTTTGTACTTAATTTTAAACAAATTGGTTAGATTTAAACGTAATTACGCCTGTAGGTTCCAGGAGAAATGAATAATATGATAACACTAAAGATTAATCTCGAAAAATATCAGAATCACAGTTGAATAATTTTGAATCGCGTAATCTATACTAATATTATAAAGAGGAAAGATTTGTTTGTCTGATTGTAATGGATAGGCTCAAAACCTACTGGGCCGATTTAAAAAATTCTATCACCGTTAGGTTAATTGGACAAAGGTTAATTGTCAGTGAGTGACATAGGCTATGTATTTTCATTTCTTTATTATTATTTTTTAATTTCACGCCTACGGAGGCTATGTATTTTCATTTCTTTATTATTATTTTTTAATTTCACGCCTACGGAGTCGCGGCCAAAAGCTATTTATAATAATTTGGTGGCCAATTTGTTATTACACCTTTTCTAAAAATCTCTTAAACTATATAAAGTACAGTAAGTATAACATAAGAAATTAAAACAAAATAAAAAAATAGAAAAAACGTCACGTTTTGGTAAAATGCTTAAAAATGCTTAGCGCTGATATAAATCTAATTAAAAAACATGTCTTCTCTTATCAATTATTTTTTTTATAAAACTATACTTAAGAGGAATTTATATTACACAATATGGTTATTGTTTTAATTATTTTCATACCCGTGAGTTCGCATTACTTAACTTACACATAAAAATGACAAAGTTAGATAACATGTTAGATGTTAATCAGTAATGAGAACTAGTCTTGTTACTCTTTCTTTAAGTTATCGAAGTTAGGCTCCAAGTCTCGTATCTTGTCTAATAAAATGCTCGCTAAGTTTGCTTTGGGGTCCATATCTATGGGTAAAAAATATTAAATTAATGCAAATTTTACAGTTCATAGTAACTAAAAATTGTGACATTTTGAGTGACTATATTTTAAAATAGCAATTTTTAAAACCTTAGTTGTTTATAACACAATATAAGTAATTGGTACTAGAATTCGCCAAAATAGCGAAGCCACCGCTATATAGAAATCCGCATTTATAGAGCGTTGTCTAATCAGGGCACACACAGATAATTTCCTTTACATTCCCATCCCCACCAAATCCACTCCCCCTTTTCATCTTCACTTCACTAATATTATAAAGAGGACAGATTCGTATTTTTTGTATGTATTCGATTCACATAAAAACTGGGCCGATTTTAATTCTTCACCATTACAAAAGTAATTTATCTGTAAGTAACATAGGCTACATATTTTATTATTTAATTCCATGCGGGCGAAGTCGCGGGCACTAGTATTAATATATGAAAAGGGGAAGAGAACTAAAATGAAGCCTGAAATGAATACAATGTTTTCTGTAGTAACTTACCGTCGTAATACACGAGTTCGCATTTGTCCCTGCACTCGGGGCTCTTGGAGATGACAGCGCCCAGCGTGCGGCAGAAGTCTGACACCACTTCGGGTACGTTCACCTTTGCTAAATCTATATCATAATTAGATTTTAAACGTGACTACGTTAGGGGAATTAGAAAAAAACAGTTAGCCTATGTGTTCTTCTGGACTATCCTCTACATCTGGGATAAATTTCATAGAGTGTCGTTCAGCAGTTTAGGCTATAAACTCACATCTTACTATTATTTTGAACTAGCTGTTCCCATGCGATTTCATTAGCATAGAATTATTTTATTGTTAACATGTGTCAAATTGCCAATAGCAAATGTTAAAATGACATGACATGACAAAACTTGGCAATCATGCTTCCTTAATGTTGGCAGCAACTTATGGTCTCTTTCGCACATTAGGGTTTTTATCCAAAATATTTACCTCTAAGTTTACCGGCGTGAAAATATATAGCCTAAAGCATGACGTAAGTGTAGGGTTTTTTATTAAAAAAATATTATTCAAAAATATGCTGTAATTGCTGACATCTTAGGCAAGCAAGGAAATGTGTGTTTACGCTTTATTATAATAGAAGTACAGATAGTATAGATAGCATAGATGAGATAGTTTGGATTGATGTATGTTTGTTAGAGTTTGTAGCTTAAACGGCGAAATGAATCACAATGAAAGACATAGGTAGAAGATGGTGTGGAAGAACACATAGGCCATTTAATCAGGTTTATTGGTTACTGAAAATTCCCGGAGTCCTCCCCTATTGCACTAGAGGCTGGCCGACAGTTTTAGTGGGTCATAAACCACATAACCCTGGGTAGAAACCCAGAATGAAAGATTACCTTTTGAAGATTTGCTCCGTAACCTTTTAAAAAAGGTTACTGCAGTCTGTTAAGGACCTTTGTTATAATTACCTTCGTATAACGCTGTCTTCTGCAGCACGCGGTGCAGCGTGTGCAGCGGCGTGGCGCACTCCGCGGATAGATACACGGGCGGTTTACCAGGACGGTATATCTTGTATGCGGAGTTTCGGTACGTACGGTTTTTCACGCCCGCTATGTCCTTCTCTATCTCTTCTAAAGACTGTAAATATTACTAAAGGTAAGCTCAGTATGTATTTTCACTGTGCTATTAGAGGAAGTTTGAAAGTAGCGCCTGTGGTGGAGAAATTGAGAAGCAAAGGATTAGCGTGGTATGCGACGTTATGCGACGAGACGATGAAGACATAAACCAGAAAGTGTTAAGAATGACTGTGGATGGCTACAAAGGAAGAGGAAGACCGAAGAAAGTATGGATGGATTGTGTAAAAGAGGATATGCTTAAGAAAGGAGTGAATTCAGATATGACGGCTGATAGAGATGTATGGAAGAGCAGCACATACTGTGCCGACCCTCCGTAAGGGATAAGGGCAAGTTGATGATGATGATGAAACTAGCCAAGTTGAAAGGCAAGAGTGAATGCGACGCTTAGTAATATGAACGATGTAGTGTGTGTGAGAGTGAGAGAGGGAGAGCGAGTAGCCGAGTACGGGTCCGTTCAGACTGAGTGTAGAGAAAATTGATCTTTATACGATTAAAACAAGGTTTAAACTTATTTGACGCGTATTTTCATATCAAGAACAAGCGTAAAAGACGTAATATTAAAACTTCAAACGTATCACAATTTCATTTTTTTATATAATATAAGGTGGCAAAACGAGCAAGCAGCCTGAAAACACCCAAATAGAAAACGACCGCTGCCCATAAACATCCGCAATTGTAAATGCGTTGCCTACCCTTAATTGACGGAGGAGGAGACGCACATAAAGAGGACATTCCCCTTCGTATGTCTCTTCCACCATCAAATCCACTTTTCCTTCCCATCTTTTCCTCTTAAGAAAAGGGTGGAAAGGGAAAGAGAAAAAAACTTAAATTAGGCCTCCGGCACCACACTCATCAGACGAAACGCGGAATTGCTTCCACTTCACGTCTGTTTTCTGTGTGGTCGTGGTATTACACCGGGCGAGCCGGCCCTACAGTGCGAAGATGTTAAAGCGGGCTCTACCACAGTTAATTGCATTTGTTTTAAAGTCTGCTCTACGATTCTGTCTGTGTGAAAGGTCCCTAATGCTTTTAACTATTAAAATGAGCTGAAGAAATGTTATTCGTCAAATTATTTTATTTGCCCTTTGAAGCATTTATGTTGATCACCATACCACATGGTGATGATGATGGTGATAACCTCAAATTACTAAAGAACTAATAAAATGGTGAAATTAGCGTCTATAGGCTTAAGAATTATGATCTTAGATGTAAAGAATATAATTGTGAAGTATGAAATTAAATATTGAAAATGGACGAGCTATGCGTTTGCGACATAAAGCAAGCAAACGGAACAACCCACTAACCTCATCACTAACCTGACAGGCTTCTAGATATGGCAGATCTTCTCTGTTAGCTTTATTAAAATGCTTCAAATCAGGCGGACAGTACATAGATTTCGTTATTATAATAAACAATCTCTTCACAGGGAAAATAATGCCTTGTTTAGCGGCGTATTTATCCATGTTCTCTTCAAAACCCACGAATTTTGCCCCATCGCTTGGTATCACGTGTACTAAGTATCCTTCGAAATAACTACACGCCATACCTACGCCGTAATTTATGTTCACCAAATTAGACTCCTGAAAGTTATGTAAATAAAAATCTTTACATCTATACTACTGCTAGCTTTCGGCCGCGACTCCGTCCGCTTGGAATTAAAAGTATATAGCCTATGTGTTCTTCCAACCTATCCTCTACAGCTATACCAAATTTCATCGAAATCCGTTTAGCCGTTTAAGCGGCAAACTGACAAACATTCATCTATCTATTTACTCTTAAAGAATTTATAGTATTGCATTTTTATATAATACTAGCTTTCGCCCGCGACTTCGTCCGCGTGGTATTAGAAAATACAATATCCTCTACATCTATGCCAAATTTCATCGAAATCCGTTAAGCAGTTTAGGCTCAAACAAACATCCATCCATCAAACTTTCGCATTTATAATATTAGTAAGAAGTAAATACATATAAAGTTACTTACCACTTCTGGATATTTAGTGACCAAATAAGCTATAAACCATAACAGGAAGTCCTCATCAAGGATCCTTTGTTTGTTATACAACAAAATAACTACCGATGCTATGAATATAAATCCATATTTCTTGCTGTGTTTGATAATATCCTCTATATTCAATGTTTCTTGAGCCTGTAGTATAGAATAACCTAACGCACAAGCTTCCCGGGAACCCTTTATTATCAGCATATAGACGACGTAACGCGCTGGAAAAAAAAAACCTAATAACATATAAATCGAACATGATATAATAAATTGAATTTAATTATCGAAGTTTTAAAGAAATAACTCCACAAAATCATTTAATAAAGTAATTTTGTTTTTTATTACTCTTGTAGCGGTAACATTAAAGTGTTATTTAAAAGATTTTTATATATTTCCATCAAACAATCTAAATAAGCTAGCATTTTAATTACAGAACCTACATACAGCAAAGAAAATCAAACATATGTGTGAAGTCAACCCGCAGTGCAGCATGTGTCTATGGCCACAACTTAGGGTAGGTTCCGAGTTCAGTGGGGACATATGATTTACTTACCAACAATAGCTATCCATTTATGCGCATTCTCTAAATGTATACCTTGATAGCCTAAAAAAAATAAACACAACAATATCAACATTCTTTTCTAAATTATTTTGTTTCAACAATCACAAGGCGCTATTACAACTTGACTGGTGAACTGTTACCTATTGTTTCAAACATGATCCCAAAGGAATTTGACAGTTAAATTTGGTTTATTTCATAAGCTGAAGCGGATGTGATTGTGGATATGAATGCAAGATTTAGGATCTGTCCTCTAATGTAAATTGTCTGTTAACAAATGAACATATAAATATATGATGTAAATATCAGATTTAGTTCCCTTAGCTGACAGTGATGTCATAAGCTATCTGATACTCTATCAGCCAGTGGTGGGACAGGCCCTAAATGTATGTTTAGTATCATCTCCCTGTCTCTCTACTCTTGTAGGTGCACCATGTTTTTGTCCTCCATGTTAATTTCTCAGTCATCACTTTTTTCTTGATCATATTTGAAAGTTAATGCAAAGTAATTATATAATTGGTAAAATGTCCTTGGTAAAATTTGATTTAAATTTATCCCAAAGAAATAATTGTTGGTACATTAAAGGGTTACTTATATTACCTTTTTATATAATTACTAGCTTTAGAAATAAAGAAGAGGAAAAGTCAGTAGCCTATGTCCAAACTTTCCTCTACATCTATACCAAATTTCATTGATATCTGTTTAGGCTACAAACTCAAACAAACATCCATCCATTCTTCTAAACTTTCATATTTATAATATTAGTATGATTTTAATGTTAACTATGTTTTAAATATTTTTTGTTACCCACTTAATGTTATGACTTGTACCGTTTAAACTGCCATTCAACACTATTCCTTATCACTCTTAGTTAGAAATTCAAATGAATGATATCATTGTTTTCTTTAATATGAATTGTTTACAAGTTAGTTAAGGGCAAAATTCTAATCTAAATGTCAACTTCAATCCTTACTATGTAATTCTTGTTTGATTTTTGAATTTCATATAAAAATTTACCCGTTTTACATCTTCTGAAGAAACATCTGGGAGTAAATGAATTACTTTTTTTTAATGAAAAATGGCAAGTCATTTATGTTTAATCTATGTTTGTCTCCAGCCAGTTAGTACGTCAGCATTTTTAATTGTTTATTTTAAATTGTCTAGTCTTATCAGCACCTGGTACCCCTATTAATGATGGCCTGATTATATTGAGTGTCAAGTGCCACAATGGGTAGGAAATAAATGTCCTCAACTCCATGGAGTATATTGTTATTCTATTCATTATTGTACTTACCATATGTAATTGCACACACAAATATACATTGTGAGGCATAAATATACACAGTTTTGTCAGTCATTCTGAAAATAAATTAAAAACGACATTTTTATTTAGTACAAATGTACGTTTATTTATGTCTAAACTGTTATTAATATATACAAAAACTAGAATAAAACAATTAACAAAACTAATGATAAATTCCAATTACTACAATCAAAGAATCCGGAGATATTTTAATAAAGTTAATTGTAATTACCTTATATTTATTGGTCAATCAGTACATATTATATATATTAACGAAATATCATATTAACGCAAATAAAGGAATTATAAAATATTATTAACCTTTAAAACAAAGATAAGATTTTGACATTTTCATTTTTATTTATTTATTCATAGTGGTACGTGCACGTGCAACGATGATTTATAAGCCAATTATACCAAAAAAAAAAATACATAACACATTTAAAGTGTAATACTAATAATCAATAACCTTATTCATTATTCAATACATAACTTTCAAATTCAATCGTATTGTTATTATATACTTTCTTCTGTCATCCTTGTACAGTTTTTTGGTTTGTTATATCGCATATTTTAGATATTGTGTGTACAGCAATTTTCAACTTTATGTGAAAAAACAATCAATACAACTAAATGTTTTTATCGTTTATGCTTTTTAAGAAGTAAAATACAAAATGTCAAAATTATTGACACTTGACAGTCACAACTTGACATTGACATTGACAAAACAAACTGAATTATAACGAAATTTTTATAAGTTTGTGTTTCAATATTTACGTTACAGTTTCAATGTTTTTAAAGTTTCTAAAGTTAATGTATCATAAGATTCAATTTAATGTTTTATGACCTTTAATACGTGATAATGGTGGTTTGTAAGTTTTTCCAACAAGGTTACTGCCGATATGGACAAAACTGCAGATTTGAACATGTTTATGGCTCCAAATATTCGTATCATGGTTTGTAAAATTATGTTTTTGCTTCAAATTCTTAATGAATGTTTACTATTTCCAGAGCATTCTGATCTCCAGCACTAAATGGTGATCCTACAACCAACATGTATGAAATGCTTCTCTCTACTAGTATTTGTCATGTAACTTCTTGGTAATATTTATCAGCTCACCTCAAACTGTCGAGCTGCAGCCCGACGACTATATGAGCTGTTCATGGCCTGAAATATATGATAACTAAGTTAGCTGAGTCATAAATGATCTATGCAGATACAAATTGTGCTGGCTGCAAACAGTGAGCTGATCTGTAGATTATCAATTTCAGTTGAATTACATGACTATTTATTGCTTTCAGCCAATCCTCCCGCCCAAACAGCGCCAGCCCAGTCAAATGTTGTGACAGATGAACAATTAGTAAATCAAGTGAAATCTGATATCCAAGCAGCGCTAAAGGGTGGGCAATGGATTTTATCCAGTTACGCCCCCTACAAAGAGAAGCCAGGATATCCGGGCTTGACAGATCTCTCACCTGAAGAAGCAAGGTTATTCATATATGAAGCTAAAGCAAATAATACTGTTGATCAAGCTGTAAGTATAATTAAATTATTAATAACCAAAAATTGCAGAATCTGTAATATTAAATTTTACAGTAACATTTTTTTATTGCATTGTCACATATGTTCATTGTTTACTTGATCTAGTCTCTTATTTTACCACAAAGTTGCAGGTAAAACCTAGTAAATAATAGTGTAATATTTCTTTTTCTTCAGGTGGCATACTTTGATAATCTCTATAAGGAAACAAGATATAAATATGAACAATTGCTACAACCAACAGTAAATACAATAAAAATACTAAGAAGCCTTTACAAAGGAGAGATAATTCCTCAGACATCATTCGGTACAGCAAATGATGCATCATCTTTATTCAGAAGTGCTTTAAGTAATACGAACACTGGCTTCCAGACGTTAAATCAAAATGTTTTCGGACCAACTCAACCGACTGGGGCAAAATCTCTTTTCGCTGAGGCCACAGAAGCTACTTTCGGTCCTAAAACAAGCATTTTTACATCAAATGAAACACCAAAATCTTTATTTGCACAGGAAACGCAAAAACTCTTTGGACCAACAAATAATCCAGCTAATATTTTCGCTAATGCGACACAAAATGTTTTTGGTCCAATGGAGCCGGTTAAACAAAATGTTTTTCCAAATCAACCTGCGGTTAATGTTTTTCAAAAATCTGATCCAAGTGATGTCTTTCAACGAAAAAAAACACAAAATGTTTTTAACAATGTATTTGAACAGAAATCAGATACTGTTGACAATATTTATAGTAAATTAGAAGATCTGTCTAAAGACGATTTAGAGGCTTTTAAGTGCAATGACTTTAAATTAGGTTTTATACCAGAATTGCCACCGCCAAGAGAATTATGTGTTTGAAGTTTTTAAATTAATATAGATGTATATTGTGTAATTATCCTTAAGTTTGAATAACAATTGTGTACTGAACATGATTTTACGAAATTTGATATTAAGCTATGTTTTTAATACATTTTTTATTCTATGATTGAGTCATTGATAAATGAAAAAACATTTTTAATGATTAAAAAAGGGTCAATTTGAGTACAATAGGTGTTTGTGTAAAGATAAAGAAAAAAGAATTTGGGTGCAATAAAAAATCATGTGATTTAAAACTCTTTAATTATCTTAAAATTATTTTACAACAAGATATTATACTTAACCCTCAAATACCTGAAGATTCAAATTTGATACCGGGTTTATAAATCGCATTGGGCTACAATAGATGTTATTTTAATATTTAGGCTGTGTACATTACTGTTGACTGATAATCTTCAAGTTAGAAAACATTTAGGAGCCTATCACGAAAATGTTGCTACCTATGAAGGATGGATTTCTAGGCAACAAGTTGGAATGACAACATATAAAATATTTATTTTACTATTTCTCCCCATTAGTGAACACAGAGAAGAGTACTCTTACATATTTTAAATTTGATTTAAAAAATAAGACTTTTAAGGGTTAAAGAAATTACTTCCATTCATTGCTAGGATATTTATATTCCAATCAGGTCAATGGTCAATCTCTCCGAGGTATATCTGCTTGTCACTTGAGGCTGAGAGTACGATAGACTCTGTCTGGTGGAAGTCAACGGCATTAACTGAGCCATTGTGTCCGGGAAGCTTGTACAGCACTCTACGTGACGTCGTGTCCCAAATGTAAAGGAAACGATCCGATGAACCTGCCGCTACCTATACAAACAATAAATTTTTGAACACTACATAACCAGACAGTTTAAAATATAATTGTACTAGCTTTTGCCCTCGACTCAGTGTGGAATAAAAACTAAAGTAAGTATGTGTGTTCTTCCACTTTCCTCTACGTCTGCACCAAATTTCATTGAGATCCACTTCACAGGCTACAAACTCTAACAAACATACATCCATCTATCTAAACTTTCACATTTATAATATTAATATGAAGACATTAATTGAAAATTAATATCTTACTAATATTATAAATACGAAAGTTTGGATGCATGGTTGTTTGTTATAGTTTGCCACCTAAACTGCTGAATAAATCTCAATGAAATTTGTTAGATGTATAACATAGTCTTGAAGAACATAGGCTACTTACTTTTGTTTCTTTAATTCCAGCAGACAGTGTCGGGGTTAAAAGCTAGTTTATTTATTCTGTCATATGTAAATAAAATTACGTAGGAATTCTATACCTTAGATCCATCAGCAGACCAGGCACACTTTAGGAGATTCCTCTCAAAGTTATGTTGATGTCCGGACATCAGTTTGACGCAGCGCTCCGCGGGCGCGAATGGCCGCACATCCCAGATACGTATTGTACCGTCCATTGAGTTCGACAGTAGATATGAACCATCATAGGATAGTGATAAACCTAAATAAATTGAAACATCATAGAAACGTAAAAATACACTTCTTTGTTAATTTGCTATATAGGATTTCAATCATAGTATGCTTTTGAATCTTTTTTCAAAAATAAAAACCCAAAACTTTAAGACATGGTAAAGACTATATTCAGTTTAATTTTTTATATAAGAGAAGGGGGCAAAGCGGCGGAACCACAGAGGTGGGCAACGACGCCTATACATCCGCAACACCAGAGGAACTACAGATGCGTTACCCGAAGAAATTGTAGGCTTAATTCTTTAAACAAATTGTCATTGCGAGAAAGGGATAAAAACTAACCAATAGCAAGCAAGCAAGATTGTCATAAGAGGAAATTGTTAACCAATGTCAAAAGCCTTTGTTTTTTTTTAATAGAAAAAAGCAGGCAAACGAGAAGCGAATCGCTTGATATCAAGTGATCTGACGCCCATGAATATCCGCAACGCCAAGGGAACTGCAGATGCGCTGCTGGCCTTTAAGGGAGGAATACAATCTTTTCTTTAAGGCCCTTAAGTCGTAACTGTTTGGAAATACCGAGATTTGTTGTCATTGTTGCATTTAAATTTTGACATTTGCAATTAAAGATTTATAAATTTAAACTAGAAAATGAACTTCATATAATTCTTTACATTCTGTAATGAATACTCAAACAACAATACCGACCCTTGCTATATAGCCTAAAGCATGTCCTAAGTGTAGGCCTTTATTTTATTAAAGGTGAAATTATTCAAAATTTATGCTATGATAGCTGACATATTAAATAACTAAGAAATATGTTACACTATATTATATTAGTATAGTCAGATATACCTGTGATAGTGTCAGTATGTCCTTTAATTTTATAAGATATCTGATTACTTCTAATATCCCATACTTTGACCACATTATCTAATCCTCCTGATATTATCTTCTCCGCTGTGTCGTTGAACAGGACTGAGGTAACCGGGTAGTCATTGTCAAATGAGGCTATGGGATTTCTTTTCCTTGCATCCCATAATTTAATGGTATTGTCGTCAGATGCTGACACCAATAATTCTGGACCTCGTCTTGCTCCTGAGAAATATGCATATTTTACAAAAAAATATTATACTTAACTTATGTTTTATAAAAACTGAAATAAGAAACACTTTTAATTCATACCATAATTGATAAGGTATCTTAACACATTTAGTGTTACAAATTCACAGAATAACTAAAATGAACTGAAGAAGTTGTAGTCATTGAATATTGAACATTGAACATTGTTGTGAATTTGTTACAAGTTTTTTAAAATCTAAAGAGAAAATATCTCATAAGAAGCATCTAGAATAAAAAATAAAGACATTGCTTTTACCATTGAATAATAGTTTACCTGAAACACTGTTGACAAAGTTGGCATGTCCTTTTAATTTTTTAATTCTAGTCCCGGTGGGCACATCCCATACTGCCACTGTATTGTCTGTGGCACAGGTGTACAGATGGGATCCATCAGGAGAGAAGCAGAGCTCCATTATAGCTCCCGTATGGCCCTTCATCACCATCACATTCTCACATTGACCATAGACATTCCATAGAACTGAAATATAAGAATTTTTATTTGATTATAAATAGCAAGTGCAAATTAGTGTTGTAATTCAAACTAAACATTACACTACATATGTCTTAAGCACAGTTAAAGGTATACTTACATATTTGTCTGTCAAACCCAGCAGATGCCAAGTGTTTGCCTTCAGGATGAAACTTGGCCGAGAAAATCTCACCTTGATGCCCTTCTAGTAACATTATAGGCGCGTACAGGTTGGAGGTTCTTGGTACCTTAAAAAAATAAAATAATTCATCATCAGACAGTTATAAAAGCTAAGTATAATTAGGGTGACTAATTTTAATGAGATTAAATTTAAATTGATAGTAAATCGGGTTGAATTAAGAATAATACACGAACATTAGAGGTTACAACAGCCTTTTCTCTTGTTCCCACAACTGAAATCTCATGGCGGATTTTTTTTGCAGGCACCATTGAATAATCATCTGCTTTTCGTTTTATCTCCATTTCAGGCATATTTTAATAATATAATTTGTGAAAAACTGAAAAAACAAACTTATCAACAAATTGTTTTGACAAATTGATGTCAATCAAAACGCACATAGACAAAATAGTTTTTCTAATGTTACCAGAATGGAACCATGTTTTTGCAAAGATTAAACATAACAAAAAAAAAATATATTTTTTAGACTAGCAACAAAACGCTATTGTCAGATGTCAATATTCTTGCAAGAGCACAATTTCAAAATGTTGGGAATTTCGAAAACTAAAATAGTTAATTTATAAATAAAGATGTGAATATTTACATACAAACCATGGAAAAATTACAACTGACACTAGCTATAATTAAGCCGCATGCAGTGAAAAATCCAGTCGCAGTTTCATATATAAGGAATGTAATAAAAAATAAATTTGTGGTTGTGAGGACGAGAAGAATTATTCTTGATACCAAAGAAGCTGGCGATTTTTACCAAGAACATGAAGGAAAATTCTTTTTTAATCGTCTAGTAACATTCATGGCCAGGTATGACATATAGTATTATAGTATCATACATTTAAATCGTAAGTTATTATGGGAAACCACTCCATGAAGTTTTGTCTAGTTTTCGTTTGGAAAGTAGCAAGAATTCTCCCATTAAAAGTAATCGCCTACATGATTATAATAATATTCTTTTATAATTTCAGTGGATATATAGACTTGCATGTGATAGCACACAAGAATGCCATAGAGTTATGGAGGAAAATGCTAGGTCCTACTAAAGTATATAAAGCACAATTTCAGGAGCCCTACAGCTTGCGAAGCATGTTTGGGATATCTGACACAAGAAACGTAGCTCATGGATCAGGTAAATAATTGCTATATCTGCGTTTATTAGCAACTTGCTGTAGCTCGCGACTTCGCCTGCCTAAATTGAAATATAGCCTATGTTACAGATAAATCACCTTTCTAATGGTGTAAGAATTTTTAAAAGCAGCCCAATATATTTTACATGAATCAAATACATACAAAAATACAAATTTTTATAATATCAGTATAGATTAACCTAAAAATGTTTAAGTAAGAAATTTTAAATCACATGTTCATCATTTCAGATTCAACGGTATCAGCTGAACGGGAGATAAAATTCTTTTTTCCTGACTTTTCATTTTACGAATGGCACAACAATGATGAAATAAGATTTAGGACTGGACCTATTATATTTAACAAATACCTTTTCCAACATGTTAGAAAATTGTAGCTAATTTGAAACTACATACACTCAGTTTTGTCAATTTTAACTGAAAAGTTAAACTGTTTCATTCATAAACAAAGATTTAAAACAGTTCAACTGACAGTTAATTTCTACACAAGCACAATTTTAACCGAAGCCATACTGTTTAAAACTACAAACTGATTGTATGTAGGGGATTTACTGATTAGTACAAAGTTATTTTCTTTCAGTTATGTGATAATTTATTATTGTATAAATATTATAGAAATATAATTTCTATTGAAAATTTTAGAATTAAATGTTCTAGCTAATATTTCAATCCTCATTATTGTAGTTTTGTGTTTTCTTTGTTTTGGTTATATGAAATGATTTTATGGATTTGCTATTGAATGCTATGTGAGTGCAAATCAAAATTCGATGTTTAGAAACATAGTGTTATCTTTCAGTTTCATAGGAGTTTAACTAATGTGTGAAGCTCTGGTATTACAGCCTATTCAAATATGTAATAGCATCTTAAATTCTGCCATACTTTAAGTTCAAATTCCATTAAAATGTTGACTTGACAGATTGTTAGTGACAATTATGCTTAGATCTTTTTTTTTTAAACAAAAATTTAGATCAGAAGAGAGAAAATGAAATTTTAATTGCTAGTCTTTGACTAGGCGTTAAGCAGCAATGTTCGAGTAGTTTCAGAAAATATATACAAACAGTATAAAATGTAAACTGCATAAAACATGTATTTAAAATTCCAAAACACTGTACACCATATAAACAAATGTCATTATATTAATTACAAGGAATCATATAAGATACAATTATTAATACTACATTACAAATAACCTTACGAATTCCACAAGAATTTAAAAACTATAATACTGAACGGATTGAATTTGAGATCTTTAAAAATGCAGTGCATTTTGGCAAACTAATTTAGCCAAAATAAAGCACACCATAGAAACTGTTTAAGATGGATTTTGAAAGAAAAATTCTCAAAACGCAGTCAATAAAATCAAGATTATTTTGATAAAAATTGAGGTTATTCTCCGATTTTAACATAGACCTTTGGTCTGGAGAACACCTTAATGCCCTCTTCGAGCTTCGCGAGTTGCTTTTCCAACTCCATTTTTCTATTTCGCATCCGCAGAGTGTCCGTCTTCACCGGCATTTTGTTTAGTTCACTTACGAGTTCTGCAAAGCCTGGAAATATACATTATTTTGATATATCAACATAAAGTGAAATAAATAGAAAACTTAACTGAAAACTATAATATAACAAACTAAAGTTCATCTTTGTAGCAAAAATCCTAAGTTAATGAACTTAGAAATAAGAGATTAATATGCATACTTCATTAACTTTAAATTAATATTAAAATTGCAATAGGATGAACATTTGTTGCTTTATATCTTTAAAACAGCTTAATAAATTACGATGAAATTTGAAACAGATGGAGAACAAAGTCTTGAGGAACACATAACTTTGTTTTTCTTGAATCCTGAGCAGATATAGGCAGGCATAAGTTGCTAGTTGATATGTAAAATTGAGATTGACCAAGAAAGCCAACCCCACTACCTTATGGGATACAGGTTAGAGAGAGAGAGAGTTATCAGATATATATAAAGATACAAACTGTTTCTAAGCATCCTCAATGTCTCCTTTCTCTCGGTGTCAGGCAAGGGGACATGTCCAGGAGGGCAGGTGGAGGAGTCATCGGCCTTGGCCCCTTCTATCTCCTTAGGCCCTTGCTCTTTGCGGTCACGTAAATACTTTGGCAAAACTCCTTTCTGGTAACCTGGAAGTGGAATTAACAATTAGACATACATATTTTTTTAAACTAATAGAATTGCAGTGATTAAACTAGTTTTTGAAACAAATATGACTGTAAATTTTATTTAATTAGAATAAATACCCGTTGGTAAGTATGGATCTTTTCCTTTTCTCTCAAGTATAGCATTTAAGCGACTATGAGTCTTATCCATGTCCAACCCTTCATCACCAGATCGGTATATGTTCCTCGGACTCGGTGATGACCTCCTGTTCCTTGCTGAATCTCCACTAGCGTTGGCTTTGTTGTCATTATCGTCAAAATCTTGCTTTGGATACAGTACTGTTAGTTTTGTACTTTCGTTTAACTTGTGTGCGAGATTCGACTCAATAGTTTGACAACCAATGTCCCTCAGACGACCAGATGAAATAGAATCATCATCCTCGTTCTCATCTGGGCTATCATTTTTTACTCTAGTTTTATTTCTCAATTCTTTTCGTTTTAAAAATTCAGCCATGTCGCCTTTTTTTATGCGTATATCGGGATGCCTTCTTCGTAAAGTTGGTGAATTATTTTTGGATACAACAAGTGACGGTTTGCTTTTACTTGATGATGTTGGCTTAATAATGTTTAAATTGTTGTCCGCAGACGCGGTCATTTTCCGCGGCTGTTGGACTTTTTTTACAGCCAACTCCTGCTCTCGTGGCGATTTACCCTGAAGAAATTTAAGCTGCTTCATGTTTTCTTTGATAAAGTTTTTTTTCTGTTCCTTTTCTGGAAAAAACATCGTTGATATGAAACATATGGGAATAAGGTAGAAAACACATCTTTAAATTATAAATGTTATTTATACTGTTCTTGATATATCATTGTGGTCGTGCATTAAGAGAATAAAAATTAAGATATTCAAATAAACGAATTTTTTGACACTTACTGGGCTCCGGGAATATACCTTTCAAAGTATACATTGTTAGTAAACAATAGGAACTAGCCACAGTCTAGTTACTGTATATTTACACTCGTTATTTAACGGTCATTTTAATAAAATCAACTGTTTAATAAACTAAAGTATTTAACATTTTTTGCACATCAAATATTCTGCAATTAAAAACTGTCACTTTTGTATTTGGCGTTCTGTTTTAATGTCAAGTTTCTTTTTCAAATATTTGTCAAATCAAAAAACCATAGCTAACATTTCCGGTCACGGTTTCTTCCTCTTTTAAAAATGGTTCCTTGTGAAGTGTGTAGTAAAAAAAATATCGTGCCAAGCTTTTGTATCATCAAGCTCTGGATTACATTAAACACGCTGATAAACTTATCACTTTTTGATAACCGTAAATCTAATTTAGGTATCTGAGCCAATTAAAGATAAATTAATAGTAGTTTCGTCAAAATAACATTTGCTAACTAGATAGTTTACGTAAACGTAAAAAATAATCTGAATAGATTAATCGAGTAGAAATAATGTTTTATGCGTTTTTTTACATTTTGTTAATTACTTACATTTTATAGGTTGCAGCAATAGAATTAATATTTATACTCTTTGTCCTTTCTGAAGTTTGAACTTTGTGACAAGGGAAAAACTGCTTGGCTGTTAAATTCAATTTACGAAATAAAATAATTATGTCCGCAATCAGTAGGACTTTTATTAATAAAAGTAAGTACACACTTACAAGGAGAGGTAAAAAACTATCTCTTTTTGAGGATTCCAAGTTTATAACAGCGCTACCAAAGGATGTACCAGAGAGGACTTGGTAAATCCATTTTCTTACTATTATAGTTAAAACTTATAGTTTTCCTGTTTGAAATATTAACTTTAAATATCCTATGGGAATCATGGTTTTTGATTATAGACAGAAAAACACGTTTATATCCTTATAATTTTACTTCATAAGTATTCATTATTTTTTTTATTACATCATAACGCGAATAGGGTTGATATTTTCCAAAAAGAGGAAAACGATCTCATGATATTTGACATCAGAGAGGAAATACTCGAATCAGCTTTGAACACCTGCTACCTTAACTACATGAAGAAGCAAAATGTCGCATTCACCGTACATTGTGCTGTTAAAGCTTGGCTGAAAATCATCGATTGGTATGATCCATTATTTCTTTATTAAAAAAAAAATCACCAATAGTGGTATAATGAGCTTTCTCCTATTTTATATATTGTAGTTTATCTAATGATGATGACGGTACGTTCTTAGTCCAAATTATAGCTGATTTAATGATTTTAAAATACAGCCACATTGTCGTAAATTTTTAAACATGTAGAGAGAACCCCAATCTTGTAAAAGATATCTGGAGTATAGATACAGTGGAACCTCGATGACATAAAAACCTCTATAACTTCAAAAAATAATATGTTCCCTTTCCATCAGAGCCCAAAACCTCTATTACAAAGACCCTCGACAACTTAAAACCTCTATAACTTAAAATATTTTGTGTTTCCCTTGGACTTTAACTTATCGAAGTTCTGCTGTATTAGTATTATTAAAAAATCCCTTGTAGGTATTTTTATCGTCACGATCCCGGAGAAGAGGTGTCTGCATCGCCAGCATGTTTTATACCGAAGCGTGAAGCATCCTGGCAACCCGATGAGCCTCCAGAGCCTTCGCCCCGTGATCCTTTCTGTCGACAGAAGCTTGTTGTGTTGGAAGATGAAACTAAAGATATACCTAAGGAAGGCTTTAGTATTACGTCTTTGGAATATCCGGTTATAGAGGAAATACCGGAAGAATGCTGGTTGGTTTAAAAAACAATTGCTTTCATTATAAATATTGATTATAGAAGAAATAATCTATACTAACATTGTAAAGAGGAAAGATTTGTATTTTTGTATTTAAAAACTACTGGGTTGATTTTAAAAAATCTTTCACCGTTAGAAAGCTAATTTATCTGTGAGTAACATAGGCTACATTTTTTTTATTATTTTTTAGTTTCGCGAGGACAGCAACAGTTAGTAATTTATTATGATTACATTTGGGTAAAATTATAATAACATTTTAGGGATGTTACTGGAGTTAAAAATGAGGTCAAGAATTTTTTTTTTTTACATTTTTTTGAACTTTTTTTATATTTGAACAGTTAATTTCTCGGTGTTAGAAACTTTTCCATCAACTCTACAATACGTAACGCACCCAGAACGAATGTATCTAAAAAGTATCGAGATATCTTTTCTTCTCTTATTAAGGTTTCCTGGAAGAGTGAACATACCGATAGAAGAGGACATGAGCAGTGAGGCTGGAGGATCTCAGGATTATGAAGTATCCATACAATCTTATCCATCTCTATACAATTATTCAGTGGCGGTACTGTTAAAGCTTGACTGGATTTTCTGCCTTCAAGTTAAATGAATCGTGAAAGATAGGGTTTTAGCTTTACTAAAAGCCTGGACTCGCCACTGAATTTTAAACAGTAAAGTTGCATCTAAGTTAGGTACATAGTCAAAAATGATAGTCAAAATGATTTATATGAGAACGTAATTCTATTCGAAGTCGGTTAAATATGTGCAGAATTTAATTAGAAATTGAATAAACAAATATAGCCGCCAATATCTGTGATATTTTAGTTTGTCTAATCTTATTCTTTATCCGTCAGATAAGGGTAGGCAACGCATCTGCAATTGCGGATGTCTATGGGCAGCGGTCGCTTTCCATTACGGTGGATTCAGGCCGCTTGCTCGTTTGCCACCTTATATTATAAAAAAAAATCTAATGGTCTAACTAAAGTACTATTTGTAAGGTGAAAATCGAAGTATGTATGTAAATTTTTTACTGTTATTTTTTATAGAGTAGCACCACTTCAGTGTTTACTTCCGATGATAATTTAGTAGCAGAAAGTGAGGTGCTGCAGAAAGTAACAGACTACGCTAGTGATAAAGCGTTGAAGGCTGAATCACCTAAGGTATAAGTTGCAGTAATAATATCCTGGTTCTTGTGTATATTAAAATTCGATGATGTATCAAAGTAAAGTGGTCGAAAACTAGGTCTTGCACCTTACATTTTGAAAATATCTCTGTTTTTGCACCAGTGTCTTTTCTCTATACTAATACTATAAAGAGTAAATCTGTATTTTTGTATGTATTGAAATAACTCAAAAACTACTATTCCGATTTCAATAATTCTTTCAGCATTAAAAAGATACGTTATTAGTGAGTGACAGGTCATGTTTTTTATTATTTTTTTAATTTCACGCGGACAAGGTTGCAGGCAACAGCTAATAATAACCATGTAGTAGTGGCAATATCGAAACGTTTGAAAGAATATATTAACAGAGGCAATAAAAATACGGTATCTCGCTTGAAGCCACTTATTGTAGCGTTCTTTTCTGTTGAGTTCTTCATAAATATATAAGCACTAGCTGTTCCTGTGCGACTTCATCCGCATGAAATTATGAAAATTAAATTTGATTGTTTACATGTGTTAGATTATCAATTGCAAATGTCAAAATGACATGACATGACAAACCATGGCAAGTTTGCTTCCTTGATGTTGGCAGCAACTTATGATCTCTTTCCCACATTAGGGTTTTTATATAAAACACTTACCTCTTAAGTTTAATGGCGTTAAAATATATAACCTAAAGCGTGACGTAAGTGTGGGGCTTTTTATAAAAAAGGAATTATTCAAAAATATGCTGTAATTGCTGACATTTTAGGCAACAAAGAAGTGTGTCTTTACGCTTTATTATAATAGTATAGAGTATAGATACAAGGTCGTCGCGTTGTTCAGAAGCTGTCGCGCGTGGCGCAGTCCGCGGCGACGCTGGGCAGCGCGTCTTCCGTCAAGTCCTCGCATTCCCGCCGACAGCCCTTCGTGCAGCCGCGCGCGCCCAGGTACACCTTCAGAGTTTGCACCATCATCATCACCAGCTCACTATATGTCCCCACTGAGATGCTCTAGGACTAGGCCATAGTCAACCACGCTGGCCCACTGCGAGTTGACTTCACACATATCTTTGAATAGTTTCCATATGTGCAGGCATCGCGATGTTTTCCTTGAATATAAGAATGGGTAAATAATGTATTTCGACAATCGAAAATCACATTGGTACATGACAGGATTCGAACCCAAGAACTGATTACAAGTCAAGTGCTGAAACCCTTGATCCACGCCCTGCATCACCAACACACCATCGCTTTATATACTGAGCTATATTTTCAAGGTTATGTTCTTTTTCATACCATTCTTCTATTCTTGGTTGTATTCTTCCTTGTATTTATTTAGCAGTCAGACAACGCGGTCGCGCGCCACTCTGCCCCCCCTCTCCTCCAGCTCTCAATCTCCGCTTAGCATAATCTCTGATTGCCGCCTTAGGAACTTGAGGTATGTGATTGTTACTGCGTGTAAGAACTACGGATAAGTTAGTATTTGCTTTTCTGATACTCCGGTTTCTAAGAAGAAATCAAAAGAAAACAAACAATCCTTTTATAATAAGTTTTTTTAATAACACCTTATATATTTTCTACTTTTGTCGACTGCTTCTATACCAAAATTATAAAGAGAAAAACTTTGTTTGATTGTAATGAATAGGCTCAAAAACTACTGGGCCGATTTTAAAAATTCTTTCACCGTTAGAAAGGTAATTTATCTGTGAGTAACATAGGCTACATTTTTTCATCACTTTCATATTATTTTTAAATTTCACGCGGACGGAATCGCGGGCAAAAGCTAGTCAATAATAAATACATCAGTTTTTGAATAAAGTTAACATCATTGTTTAAAATCAAGTTAACATTCACTAGAGTAATAATAAACCTCCACTCATTCTAACCTATGACAAAACACGTCTATAAAAGAGTGGGAACCATAGAGTACAATAATCCCAAAGCACAGATTATAAACACGTGCAAATCAACAATAGGGCAGTTGTTAAGGGAAACGGTGACCTGATATAGGGAAAAAACACTTTATAGACGAAGTGCGTTGACTCTCCTTCATGTCTTTGTCTTCCTTTCTGTTTAAATCTTATGGTGAATTATAATCAATGAGATGAGGGAGAGTTGAAGAAACTTGAAAAAGTTGAAAAAACCTTTATCAATGCATTATGCCGCTTGCATTTGGTTATATATTGTATTTTTAAAGTCTACTTTTTTTAAAACTTGCAAGAAAGTCGTGAATATAACATTGGTTATATATTTACTTAAATAAACGTGCGGCCGTAAAATAAAAAATGTGAGTTTATTAATAAAATGTCTCCGAGTAAGGTGAAATGAAACAAAGAAAAGTCAAGCAAGCGGTATTTTGCAACAGCTGCAATTCAATTCAATTTATTATATTTTACATTACAATGTAAGTCGAGCGTAATTTTTAAAATTGCCCTCTTCTGTAATACGGCTCGGGTCACGTGTTCGTTTGCATTCTGTTATTTCATTTTGAAAGGCAGAAAAAGTTGGATCTTTGCCAGTTTTTTTTAAAAAGAATAATAAGTACAATCGTCGTAGGCACGTATTAAAAACTGCAGCATATGTGTAAATCTCGCATTGCTGTCAAATGTGTCACTGGAGTCGTAAAGGTCGAAACTATTAAGGGAATGAGCAATTCTAATTAATAGAAAGCGAATCCGAGCGGCGTCAGCGTTAAAAACAAAATGGCGCCGGAAGGGTTGGCGCTCTTTTGTCCCGCTAAAAGCCTTTGTCTGTAATATCTGTGATGGATGACGGCGCAAACGACTGTTTTCATTTGTCGGAGTGTGTGCATTGGTTTATATGACAGTTCTTTTGTTTTACTCAGGCCGTTTCTCGAAGCGTAAACCTAATGATTCCGTCGCCATGATTGATATTTATTGTTCTCAACTTTTGTTGCCGCCATTTTATATTTCAGTCGCCGTGTTCAGTGAAAGTTATTCGATTGTCGATTGTCTATGGTACAATGAGAGAGGTGAAGCGCGTTTTATTGTAACTTGTTTTTACTTGCTTGGTTAACAAGCATTGTGTTTTGTGTTAAATTAGTGAAACATGTTTACACAAATAGAACATAAAAGGAAGATCAGTATTTTCTCGAATAAGAATAGAATTATAAGTAATAGAGGGTGCGAGGTTACTAATAATTTAAACTTCTTTACTCAACTAAATATTTGATTAGTCTTTGCATTAAATTTATGGTCAATTTGACCAGTCGTTGCAACGTAACTCCGTACCGTAACCGTAAAGGAATTTTACCTAACACCTGAGGATAATTTTCATATTTATGTTAGAGATACGTTAGTTATATTGATAATTTAGTTAGGAACTAGCTGTTTCCATGCGACTTCATCCGCATGAAATTATAAAAATTTCATTTTTTTGTTCACATTTGTCAAATGATCAAGTGCTAATGTCAAAATTACATGACATAATGTCAAACCATGGCAACCTTGCTTCCTTGATGTTGGCAACAACTTATGGTCTCTTTCCCATATTAGGGTTTTTATCCAAAATATTTACCCCTAAGTTTATCGGCGTGAAAATATATAGCCTATAGCGTGACGTAATTGTAGGGATTTTTATAATAAAAAGAGTTATTCGAAAATATGCCGAGATTGCTAACATCTTAGGCAACAAATAAGTGTGTGTTTACGCTTTATTATACTAGTATAGATATGTTCTTCAGAATAATCCTAAGATTGAATTTCCAACAGTAATAAACAATTCCATCAATTTCCATACACCACGAGTTCGTGTAATGGAACGACAGCTCATCGTATCAAATATCATTGGAATACGTATTTGGCGTGTGATTTAAAATTCCATTTCAAATGTAACCTCGCTACGGCCGTTTATTCTCAAATTCAATTTTGGTGTAGAGCTGTACGTTAACTCCGGGATGGAGCCTTGAGCGTTTCAAATTTCTCAATATATTTTTACATTTTATAAAGCATCTTGCTTGACAATTCTTAAATCGAATAGATTCATAGAATTTAGGAACGGATTGAATTCATTAGATATAGTTTATGTGACAGGAAACTGATAATCTTAACAGAGGGATTTGCTCGTTACGAAGTATTTTACCCTTTTTATCAGTAAGCATTTTTTTTTAATTTGTATTTGATGGCAAACGTTTTGTTTGAATGAATAGTTTTATGGTTTGATATTTCTGATGCATAACAGTGTGGTCGAACCCTTATATCTTTAACATGATGGATTCTTATGTTAATTTGATACATTGTTGCTCAATATGATAATCTATGAATTATCGATGTCCGACGTACGTGTCACATTGCACCAGTGGTTGACCGGGAAATTTGAAGGTGACTTGCAAATACGGATCAGAATTAGGGCTGTCAACATTGAAAATATACTCCCTTGGGACTTGTGCAAACTTGATTCCCTTGTAAACGACATAGATAGTTCTAGGGAAGAAGAAATGATGCTTTGTGTCACTATTCATTGTGACCTAAAGATATCTATGTAAAAAGCTATAAAACTATTTAAGAGTTCGTGTATGTGTTATAAACCCACATAAGCTCCATACGAACTTAAATAACTTCCATACACACCAAAAGGTGACAGCCCTAATCAGAATCAACTTGTATAATTCCTGTCAAATGATATACAGCGACTGAAAAACAAATTGTCTCTGTGTCGAAGGATACCGAGTAGGATAATGTATTTGCAATATTTTACCATATCTTTGAGGTTTTTTATTCATTTATTTATATTACACACTAGCTGTTACCCGCGACTTCGTCCGCGTGGTATTAGAAAACATACGAACTATATAAATAACAAAAAACTACGGGTATCTAGGGAACCGGACATTTCTCAGGGACGAACCTTATCTCAAGTGTACCTAGACTTTGTTTTATATCTGTGCCAAATTTCATTAATATATGTTAAACCGTTATAGAATAATCGACTAAACATTATAAAACTAAATTAATGAATCCAACAGGAACCGTAACTATTCCCGGAATAACAAGTAGCCTATGTGTTCTTCCAGACTATGCTCTACATTTGTGCCAAATATCATGGAAATTCGATCAGCCGTTTAGGTTACAAACTCTAACAAACATCCATCCATCCATCTAAACTTTCGCATTTATAATATTAGTATGATATAACTCCCGTACCCAGTTGTTTAGTGGTCACTAAGGGAACCAATTGTAGGTTTAGTATGATAAATATACATTAAGCTATTATGTAAGTAAGTAACATATTTCTGAGTTTGTTGGCACTACTCTTGTCTTGTTTGTTTGAACGTTTTAACAACGGCGGAGTATAAAAACATCTGTACGTTGTCCACTAGACCATTAAAATACCACGACCACACTAACAGGACTTAAGTAGGACCAATTGCGAGTTTTATGTGTGCGTGTTTAGTCCTAATTTTAATCCTTTTCCCTTAACACCTTTTCTTGTTTAAAGAATAGTAAGGAGAGGTCCATTTAGCAGAGAAGAGCATAGAAATATCTTCTTTCTGTGCGTCTCCTGTTTTCTTTCGAATTCAGTTCACCGTTTTTTTTTTTTTATAACATAAGATGGCAAACGAGCAAGGTGCCACCTGAATCCGCCAAAATGGCGAAGCGACCGCTGCCCATAGACATCTGCAATTGCGGATGCGTTTCCTACCCTTATCCGACGGAGGAGGAGACGCACATAAAGAGGATATTTCCTCTTCCTATGCATCTCCTCCATCGTTAAATCCACTTCCCCTTCCCATCCTCTCATAAGAAAAAGGTGGTAAAGAGAAAAGGGATTTAAATTAGAAGTTTGCTCGTTTTCCTATATTATAAAAGTTTATTTCCATTATATAAGCTTTTATAACGTATTTGTGAGTGAAGGTCTGAATAATATAGTATTTTTTTACAACAGGGACATAGAATATCAAGTGCTTTATAAAATCCTAAACAGAATGTAAATACAATAGCGAGGGTTCCAGACTTATTATAATATTGTTTACTCCATATGAAGGTTGAAGGCAGAAAAAAATTGTTTATCGTATGGCGTGATCATGTCCCCACTTATTTGTATAAATGTGTTTACTTTTAAAAACCGACATGTCGATTATTGTAGTAAATTTTAAATAAAAAAATAGTTTACTATGTAACTATTCAAGTACGCATTTATCTGATATGTTTTGTTTTACTTTATTATTTTCATATTACAAATGCGAAAAATATGTTTGTTAGCAAGATAACATCAGCAAGTAACTCCAAAACGATATAGGGATAAATTACTCTCAAGAAAAGCTAATCGGAAAAAAATAATTCCGTTTGAAGTTACAAGTAAAAGCTAGTTAAAATTATTAAGATAATGGAATACACGGAATTCATTCCTTTTTTTATTTTTAATAATCGATCTTGTTAACATGCCTTGTTGATTTTATTCGTAGAAATGATCGCATGGTAACAAGATTCGAATGTTTAGATCTCAACTGTTCAAAATTCATGAGCCGTCCAGCAAATGTATTGAAATTCGGACAATGGCTTTAAACGAGTGATTTTATACAGCATGCTCGCTGGCGCATAATCGCAGTTATATTATACAGGTTAAAAGGGGATTCGAACCTGCGACGGTGAGGTTATCGGGCACTCACCCTATGTCAATGACACTGGGTCGGAAGGTTCTGGAAACTTCGAGAGAGAACTGTAGGTGGGATAAATTGTACTTGGTATTTGATACAAGTTACCTCACGGAGGGTACGTAGAGTAATACATTATGCCATTTGAGTACAAGTTCTTTGTGTTTAACCATAACAAGGCTGTGATTAAATATTGATTTTTTACATTTAATTTTGGCGCAATAAAATTTGACAGTTCTTTGTTTTTTTAATCGTTTAGAAACAGTTATACGTTTTATTTCGACAATCATTAAAATAAATATCGAATTAATAATTGAATAATCGATAACGATTTTAGTTGAAGGGAAGAATGTTTCTCTTGAGAGTGAAAATAATTCCTTGAAATACGTACATTGTTTGACAAGAAATTTCTGAATTTAATATACTGGACGTCAATTATGCATTTTTTATATCCCTTAAACAAAAATAGATTAGCGAAGTATCGCTAATCTATTTTTGTTTCTAAAATTTTCCTTTGTTTCTTTTACTTTTTCCAATGTTTACTGGACCAAGAGTCGTCGAAATCATAGTTAAATGCATCACATAACATTGCAGTATACTGTTTGTAAAAATTAGCCTAACAAAGTATTTGAAAAGTACACAAAAGGAATTCAGTACACTTTTATGATTTTGCACGTGTTGACCACCTGAAAACTTTCACTTTGGGATTATCAACTTTATTATAAAGGGATATGATTAAAAATGACTTTGCAATTGATGAATGTGTAATATCAGAGAAGGGTGCAGTGATTTCTTTGTGCGGTTCCCAGTTGCCAGTTTGTCTCGTTTGATGCTCGTTTGGTGAGGTTTAACGAACCCGAATGGACGGGGTCAACGAATTGGAGCTTCGGGGACAATTTAATGGACTTCCTTGTCACTGCTTGAACTAGTTGTTTAGTTAGGATGTTGATAGATTAGGGTGTAACATCATTTTTTATTTGATTATTTAGTTGTCAATAATTTTGTCTGGTTAGAATTACATTTTAACAATACATTAAAGCAAATTTAGCTTTAAATATTATGTTTATATAAAATTTATGTACTTAAACGTTTAGTTTATAAGCTAAAATGTATTAGACAGACAATTTAAATGATAGAGATGAGCCTTACTCCTAGTCGATTATAAATTACCTTTGTTTTGTTACACTGTAGTGTATTACCACCCTAACTTTCCCATCAACTAAGCGACCGATCATACGACACTTAAAATGAAGATTGCTTTGAAAATGTTGCGAAATAGACTTGTATCTATTATTTGATGGATCTTTTCTTAGTTGTTTAAATTTCTCCCGCCCCTTATTTTTCTCTCTCGTGACTTAAAAAAAATAATAAAAAAAAACATAGCTTATATTACGTACAGAAAAATTACCGTTCTAATGGTGAAATATTTTTTTAAATCGGTCAAGTGGTTTTTGAGTTTTTTCAACACATACAAAATACAAATCTTTTCTCTTTATAACACTAGTATAGATATAGATTATTGAACAAGTAAAGTAAAATTTTCGCAGTTGGACAATTTAGGAAGTATCGCGCGCTTTTCTCGTACCGTTCTCTTGCTGAAACCATTCTTAAATTTGATTTAGGAATGTTTTATTTTTAATCGGTTACTTTTTCTACAGGTTGGATACACAATTTGAGGTGGGCTCTGAGAAGGTTGAATTATCGTCAGTGGAAAATGTAAAAAAGAAGTAACTACTGAAGTTTCCTGAAAGAAATTTTCAGCAATTTACTATTTTCAGTTATGAGTCAGTATTTTGAGTTTTAATTAATGCGTTCTTAGCATATTTAATTATTTCAAATAAAGATTTTTACAAATATTTTCAAGTTTTTTTTTTAAATTACCATTATAACTCACTTGTACACTAAACTATTTAAAACCCGGAAAGTATGCATTACAGTTTATAAGTTTTATATTTCTTTTGTGTCAAAACGTTTCCTTCACAACTTTTTTATAATTTCCACCGTAATGTTGGTACTACTGAGGCTGGTGTCGGCTGACATTTTGATAGATCCCGGGGTAATATCTCTGATATTTACATGATTATGCGCATACAGAGCGACAATAAAACATTATAATATAGCGGCTGCATAAAATTGTCGGTGACAGCGTGATATTGAATCTGTTAGAAAATATTAGAATTTACTTGAAACCTAAAGGCGCAGTTTCATTAGTGGACACACGATTTTTATCAGAACAGTCCGATCGTTCAGATACATCTTACAAAACTAGGAACTGCTTAGTTCTCTTCTTCTTATTTTTTTTTATAAGCAAGGGGCCACCTGAATCTACCGAAATGGAAAGCAACCGCTGCCCATAAACATCCGCAATTGCAGGTGCGTTAGCTATACTTAATTGACGGAGGAAGAGACAAAGTTAAAGAGGACATTTCCCCTTCCTATGCGTCTCCTCCACCGTCAAATCAACTAAGATAGATTTACCTGAAAGATCCGACTTTTCAGAAAAAATTGACCGTTTATAGATAAGAAGCTATATTTTGTTACAAGATTGTAGGGATAAATATGACGTCGATGATAACGCAAGTGTAAAATTGTATTGATAGCTTTATCTTACAAACTAGCTTTCGCCCGCGACTTCGTCCGCGTGGAATTAAAAAAAAAACAAACGTAAGTAGCCTATATGTTCTTCCGACTATCATCTACATCTATGCCAAATTTTACCAAGATCCGTTCAGCAGTTAAGGCTATAAGCTCTAACAAACAATATACTAATATTATAAATGCGAAAGTTTAGATGGTTGGATGTTTGATAGAGTTTGTAGCCAAACTGCCGAACGGATCTCGATTAAATTTGGTATTGATGTGAAGTGTATTCTTGAAGAACACATACTTTTTAATTTCACGCAGACAGAATCGCGGGCAAAAGCTGGTATTGTACATTTTTCTTACTATTGTCGGTGTTACATTACAGAGTCTGTACAGGTGTCGTATTGGATTAGTAGATATGTCTTGGGGGAGTGACAGAGCTCGTTTGGTTGCTACGTGGGACCATAGCGATGGATGATGCGGACTTTGCATTTTTTTCGTAGGTGTGTTATGTAGGTTGACCATAAAGCAGATTGTTTTTTACACAGTAATTATACCAGCGTTATGTTATGACACACATATGAGACGAATTGAATGAACTGTAACCTTATTAAAACACCAAAAAATAACTTAAAACCTTAAATTCTAAATTAAACATTCTAAATTTAAGTTTATGAATAGAGTTTCTTTTAATTAAAAACATTTGTTGGATTTTCACAACTTTGTAGGAAATATCAGAAGATGTATTACATCGTGGTAACCCTATCCGATTGATGCTTAACTATGACGTCACGTCGCATCCCCTATCAAGCCCGCACGTGACAGCTTGCAGCGGGTAGCTCTTGTAAGCCTATCTTACCTCACCTATACACGTCGTTTTCAAAGCATACATACAAAGAAATATTTCATTACTAGCTTTCCCCTGTGATTCCGTACGCGTGAAATTAAAACAGAAGTAAGTAGCCTATATTTTCTACAGACTTTGCTCTACACTCATCATCATTCTCCTTATCCTATTCCCGTAGTGGCGCAACAGATTCTTGTCCTCCACATAACTATCATCCGTCATCTCAGTCATCACTCCCTTCTTGATCATGTCATCTCTCACGCAATACATCCATCTCTTTCTACGTCTACCACTAGACTTTGCTCTACACTACAAAATTTTATCGAGATCCTTTCATGTTCTCATTGGTTTCTATAAAATTGGCTAATTTACGATTTGCAGCGTTCATCAAAGTAGAAGTTCACATTAGAGTGTTGATATTATCTTTGTCTATACAAAAAAAAAATGTTCTTGTATTAACTTAACGCCCGCGACTCCGTTTGCATGGAATAAAAAAAACAAAGGTGAGTAACCTATGCGTTCTTTCACACTATCCTCTGCATCCATACCAAATTTCATCGAAATCCGTTTAGCCGTTTAGGCTACAAACTCTAACAAACATTCATCCACCCATCGATGCATATAAACTTTCGCATTTATAATATTAGTATGAAATATGATTAGTATGATGTATTAAAAAAAAATCAAGAACCACTGAACCTGAACCGATTTTAAATTCTTTCACCAATAAGAAGCTTATCATAACATTCATTCATTCATTCATCACCAGCTCACTATACGTCCCCACCGAGGGGCTCGGAGCCTACCCTAATATGGGGTGACTAGGCCATAGTCAACCACGCTGGCCAAGCACGGGTTGGTTGACTTCACACATAACATGAAAAAATATAATTATTATTACTTTTTTACGAAGAGAATAAGAGGGATATCAAAATGTTTTATACATTTACGTTTAGGCAGTGGAAACTCATCTTACGTAATATAAATGTAGTATAGATATAAAGCATAATGTAATTCATGAACAAAAATTTAACAGATTCCTTCCCTTTTATAAAGAGGCGGGTCTTTGAGATTCTTTGATCGCAAATGGAATTACAGTGGATTTTGTGTTTATTTATTTCTCTGATGAAACATAAAGAGATTTTGTATATATTTTATCAATCTTTCTTTGTGGTTTTAAATCTACCTGTTTTAAGTATTGTTAGTTATTTTTTTTAAGTTAAGTTAAATATCTATGTAACGTATTGAAGACTGTAACTCAACCGTAACTTTTTTTTATAAGAGAAGAGAGCAAACGAGCGTTGGGACCACAGAGGTGGTCAACGATTATTGTCCTATGTCCAACAGTGGGTAGATAATGGCTGATGTTGATGATGTAACTAAATGTAAATAGAATAAACATTTACAAAAATGGTGATTAATGTTCTAAGTTAAGGAAATATTACGAGATGAAAAACTGATACAAATGCATGTGTTGTTTATAAGAATTAATATTACATTAAGAAAATAGTCTCATATAAAAAATATTCACAAACCTAATGCACTAACGAAAGTTATTTAGCTAGTTGTTGCTGGCGACTTCACCCGCGTCAATTTAAAATATAGCCTATGTTACTCAGTGGTAACATAACTTTTTAATGGTTCAAGAATTTTTGAAATTGCTTCACTAGTTTTTGAGTTATTTCAACACATACGAAAATCCAAAAATACAAATCTTTCCTCTTTATAATATTAGTATTTATAAATGCTTCCATTACCGTACGTAAAATCTTTGTCCTCGATTTCCTCGCCGGTTATTTTATGTAGAAACTTATTCAATATTCGTCGACAATCTCATTCGAGGTATGGAAGAAAGCGAAAATTCGACAAGTGTTTCTCGTTAAGAGAAAAGGGAAAAAACGTTTTAAGATTGATAAAGGGCCTTAAAAAGGTCCCAAATAAAGGCACTGCTGGGAAATGCCCTCTGAGCCTCCGCACCTCCTGGGGATGGAAATCTATTTTATTCAAAAGGTTTTCGCAGCTTAACGTTGGAATATGGAAGGGAATTTTTATAGCGTGAGCTCTGCGTGATCAGCTTTTAGTTTTTATAAAGTTTTTTTTAGAAAAATAGAACTCATTAAATACTAATGTTAATTTAATAAAAAAAATAATTACCTAAATTAATATAATTTTGCAGAATAAAAAATCTAAGACACTTTTGACTCTGTCGCAAAAAAAACATTCGAGAATACGTCTTTACCATACATTGTAATAAAAAAAAATATAAAACAATTGAGAACTTCCTTGCTTTTGTAAGTCGGTTAAATGTAAAAATTAACATGCTTTACAATTAAACAAAGAGGTTATGTTAATGAAAACGTAATTTGCAAATGTTCTTTCAAAGTCCTCTCATAGATATTATCGTGGTAATATATTATCTAGCCCTTAACAATAGAATCATAAGTGATATTAAAATGACTCACAATTTGTACATAATTACTGCGTATTACATATTTTGTATTTGGTTACAAAGAGAAGTGACCCCGTGTAATTAGAGTGCACCGTGGGGACCCATTCAGGGTCTTACAATCTATATTCATAACGCAAACTCCACGTTAATGTCACCTTTAGTAGACACGGAAGTAGGAGTTGCAAATATTTTTATATTATTACATACATATTAGTTACTAGATGTTGCTTGCGACTTTGTCCTCGTGAAATTAAAAAAAACAATGAAAACATAGCCTATGTTACTCACAGATAAATTACATTTCTAAAGGTGAAAGAATTTTTGAAATCGGTCCAGTAGTTTTTGAGTTATTTAAACACATAAATACAAATCTTTCCTCTTTATAACATTAGTACAGATTAGTTTGTGACCGCACGAAATTCATTGTTTGATAAATCAGAAAATGGATTTGTTTAGTTTTAAAAGAGCGTAAGTAATCTGCAATTTATCGTTTAAGACCGGCCTCACAACGGTTTAGTCTCGCTTTGGTTCCTATATGAAGGTGCGCACACTGCTCGATTTTTAGTTGTGCAACTAAACAGTTGAATTGGCTCCGAAATTATCGACAATCGCACAACAGTTGTGCGATAGTTTAGTCAAAAGTCCCCCTGCTCTAATCATTACACTCGCTAAAAGCACAATAAGGCATCGACAGTTACACATTTAAACACATTCGGAATGTGTTCTAATAAATACGGTGTTAAACTAACTTTTTACACTTAAAAATACCTCAAATCAATATAAGTCGTGTTCCAAATATTATTCACCATATTATATATTAACTAATTTAATTTAATTATTATAAACATTTTGAAATGTTTCAACAAAAACAAGCAAAGTATCAACACCATTTTTGTAATTACTAATATAATCAATAAACTATAAGTTTGCCAGCTTTCAATCCATTTA